TTATTATTGTAATTTTATTTAAAACAAAATAATATGTTTTCGTTTATTTAAATCAATTAATTGTTACTTTTTTGCATATAAAATATTTTTGTTAAAAACTAATTTGTTTGTGTAAAACAATGTTTACTTAAACAGTCAATTTAAAGTGCTAGTATACACTTTTTATCATCAACCCATCAACTAAAGTTTGGTTAGTTTATATTTCTTTACTTAAAAAATGTTGTTTATAAACTGCAAAATTGTTTAACAATCGATAGAAATAAAATGATGCCGCACGCCAATTATTATTCCTTGTTTTCACCTTCTTGTTCTTTATTATAAAAGCAAAATTAGATATAAGCAGCAACAAACAACCTGACATTGCACTGTGCACAAATCGATCATTTTAATCTAATCAACTTATACATCAGCAAATTAACCGTATTTTTGCAGTTTTATTAGTGCACTTCTAATGAGTATGTGAACAAATGATATTCTTAAATAATAACAAAAATTTTCAATTTTTTAATTTTGTACAAGCACTTTCAGACACTGTCTAAAATGAAACATTGATTTTCATTAGTTTTTAATAACTTTTTAAGTATTACATAAATAAAAATGCTTTATTACAATAAATGACATTAATGTGAAACAGATTCTATGTTTGCCAGTTTCTACCAAAAAGCTTTTCGTATGACAACAACTCTTTTACTGGCTCTCATAGAAGCAGAGCCGAGTGTCTTCTGAAGTACATTGAGCTCAAGTGTGTAGACTAAAATGTGAGTCAAAGCAGAGATTGTCAACTACTAGAACATAAACTTTGCGCATCACTACACAGTTGGTAACATACTGGTGGTGGATGTGTTAGCTTTTATGCGGTGGTTGTGTTGTGTAGGTTAGTGTGGTGTCGGCGTTGGCAGCACATTGAACAGTCCACCGCCACCGCCTTACCGCTCTCTCGCTCTCTCTCACTCTCGTTCTTCCTTCCACTTTCTCATTGCCATTGTCATTATCACCAAACTCACTCACTCACTCACTCACCGAAAGCAATCGGTATCAACTCGGTGGTTAAGTGTCTTGTGTAGAGAGAGAGACTAGTAAAGAGTTTTCTGAGCTAACTGTGATAGTCAACTGCGCGCAAAGTCGGTCACTCTAGCGCCACTAGTGTGACACTACTGCTGCAGCAGAGTGTACTGAAGCAGCAGCAGCAAAAGGAGGCAGACATTTCTCACTCATTTCTCTCTCTCTCTCTCTCACCCTCAGCTGTAACTGTACGTGCNTAAAGAGTTTTCTGAGCTAACTGTGATAGTCAACTGCGCGCAAAGTCGGTCACTCTAGCGCCACTAGTGTGACACTACTGCTGCAGCAGAGTGTACTGAAGCAGCAGCAGCAAAAGGAGGCAGACATTTCTCACTCATTTCTCTCTCTCTCTCTCTCACCCTCAGCTGTAACTGTACGTGCAGTTGTCCGGTTGTCGTCGTTACTACGGACCTATGCAATGCCATCACCACCATCACCATCACCATCACCATCACCATCATCACCATCACCAACAGCCCAGCTGGTGAGCATCGTGCAGTGCCAGTGTCCGTGCACACGTATTTCAAAGCAAAGCTAACCAGGCGACCACACGAAAAGCGACAGCTGGTACGGTGCTGCTGCTGGTGGACACTGCTTGATCATCAGTTGTTTCTTCTTCTCTTCTCTCAATCTCATTATCTTTTTTGCTTGTTTTTTGCCTTTTTTCATCTGATCAAGTTTTAAATTGATAATGAGTTAGAAGTGAGATAGCGCCTTTACAATTGAGTAAGTTGTCACTTTTTTATTTGTTTTTTTCAAGTTGATTTTATACATTGTTTACATTAGTCACAAGGGTATTATCATTTCAATTGTGGTTTTTGTTTTCATTTGCATGCATTTAAAACTTTCAAGGCATTTTGCAACTTGAACTAAGATGTTTTGTAGTAAGTTAGCAGCATGCGACACGAGCTTAAAGCTGTTGCATTGAACTTAAAACATTTACACGTTTTACCCTCAACTGTTTAAATTTAGATCAAGAAAGTTACACTTATTCATTTTAAAATAGCCTATTTTTGTCATTGCTCAAAACTAAAGTCATTATTTATTATCTTTCAACTAAATTTTGTTTTGATACATTTTTGTTTGTACAATGCTTAGTAAAACAAACCTGAACTGCATTTGATTTATTTTAGTTCAGTGACAACACTTTTACAACCGTTTCCCAATTAACAAAATTAATGCAACAGGACTGATCTACTGCCAATGTGTGTGACAATCAATGGACTCAATCAGGAGCAGTGCTGAGGCCACTGTTGTGCTCAGCAAATTGACAGGCATTGAGGAAATGTCCACTTCCTCCGGTTTCCTCTCCCTGCAGCTCCTCTTCACAGTGAATCCTCGGCCGATCCGAGTATCTATCTCCTTTATTTGGCTGTGTCCTGCTTTTTCTCTGCCTTTCTCTGCTTCTCTGCCTCTCTGCCAATACTCGCAATACGCATCCTGACAATATTACTGACTTGCCTCATTTGACTGGTGCTAATCAGCGCACTTTAATGCCGCCAACCGCAGTGCCACAAAAGCAAATTTACACTCTGTTTTTAAGTTTCAAATGTAAAACACGTCTTGATGAACAGTTACGTTATTGAAAACGTTCCATTTGATACTTACTAAAACGGTTTCAGGGCAACAAAAGCTTTAAATTGTGTTTATGTTTCAATTGACTACATTCAATTAATTACAATGTTTTTGTTTCATTAACTAGATGTCAATACATTTAGCCGTCGTTTATCATACAAGTTTGCTAAATTTAATTGACTTGCATTGCATTATATGAAAACTTTAATCGACCATCCCCTTCTCTTTACTAACGAAGCCATTTTCAACTCATCACATCAACACACCAAATCACCAAATCAATCATGAGCAATATAATCAACAAAATTTTCAATTCAGGAAAGCGAAACACCAAACAGTCGGGCTACCTACAAACTGTTTCACAAATTGGTGAGCCTTTTGAAGTGAAGCACAATGTGCACGTCGGTTTCAACATAGCCACCGGGAAGATCGAGGGCCTTCCCGAGCCATGGCTGTGCCTGATCAACGGTTCCAATATCACGCCGCAGGAGCAGGCAAAAAATCCCCAAGCAGTGATCAATGCTTTGAAGCTGTTGACTCACAATATGAGCCATGAAAATAAATACCTGGCAAACCAAGACATGATCAACAATGAACTGCAGGAGATTGAAGAAACCTGGCCAAGGTCGAAGGAGAGCTCAAAGGTGTTGCTGGATGACGATGACGATCAGCAGGAGCACCAGCCAAAGCATAGTAAGTTGTGTAGGTTGTAATTAAATAACCTCTTGCTAACAGTCTGTTGTTGCAATGTGTAGATAAACATTCCGAACCGACCAGCACAACCAACGGCCAACACTACCACGAGCCTGGCAAACATTCAGAAAGCAAAGCCAACTACCGACGCTCTAATGAGGAGAACAAACCTAGTCGCGATGTAAACTTCAATGAGAAGGCGCACTCAAATGATGCCAATAATAACAACAACAACAACAACTTCAGTCACGCCAAAGTCCCACCCAGTCCACCGGTGAACGTGAACATCCCCTCGGCCAATGATGTTCCCGCCAAACCACAACTTCGCAAGCGTACACCAAAGACCAAACAGATGTCTGAAACGGAGATTAAGCAGGCTCTGAAGGAGATCGTCAATCCCGGTAATCCTCGCATTCGCTACAAGCTGCTGAAAAAAATTGGCTCGGGCGCCTCGGGCACCGTCTTCACAGCGCTGGATCAGGAGACGCGTGAAAAGGTGGCCATCAAGACGATGAATCTGGCACAGCAACCTAAGTCAGAGTTGATCATTCGCGAGATATGCGTCATGAAGGAGAATCGCCACCCGAATTTGGTCAACTTTCTGGACAGTTATCTGGTGGATAACGATCTCTGGGTGGTGATGGAGTACTTAGAGGGCGGTCCACTCACTGACGTTCTCACTGAGACGATCATGCGAGAAGGCCAAATTGCCGCCATCCTCTTGGAGATTGTCAAAGCAATATCATTTCTTCATTCTAAGGTTCTGACAAACTAAAAAGTGTTAATGTTTCTAATACTCAATAGTCCAACAATTTACTTTCAGGGTATTATTCACCGTGATATCAAAAGTGATAACATTCTCCTTGGAATGGATGGTACCGTCAAAGTGACTGACTTTGGATTCTGTGCGCAAGTGTTGCCTGAAGAAAAACGAGAAACAATGGTAGGCACACCGTACTGGATGGCGCCAGAAGTGGTCACCAGAAAGAAGTACGGCGATAAAGTGGACGTAAGTACAACTAAAACATAATAAAGCACAGTTTTTAGTTTTTTGTAACTTGAAATTTTAAAACAGATTTGGTCATTGGGTATAATGGTCATTGAGATGATTGAGGGAGAACCGCCGTATATCAATGAAACTCCCTTAAAAGCACTTTACCTGATTGCTTCCAATGGCAAACCCGAGGTGAAAAACAAAACTGGAATTTCAGCAGAGTTGGCCGATTTTCTTGACAAGTAAATGTTTACTTGAATAGGCTAATTTATTAGAAAACCTAAACTAACTAAATTTACTTTATAGATGCTTGATGATTGATGTTGAAACTCGTTCATCAGCTGAAGAACTGTTAACTCATGAATTTCTTAACAAAGCCGAAGATTTAAGCACTATTGTGCCACTTATTAAAACTGTCAAAAAACTTTTGAACAAGTAAATGTACAAGTTTACTTTTGTTGTATTTTAATCATTCTTTTTATCTCACAAACTTTCAAATATTTTTCACTTGTTCATTATATTATTTTATTGATTTGTTTGGCGACTTATTTTTACTTTTTGTAACACTATTTTTAAAACTTTTGTTTTTTGCAATATTTTTATTGTTTTTACATTGTTTACAAGCTTAACTTATTGCATTAAACACAATATTTTTAACGCCATTTCAAATAATTTGTTTATAAAATTAAAAAAATTAATTTAATTAAAACAACAAACATTCATTTTTTATAAATAAAACAATATTTATTAAAACAAAAATATAAATGATTTGATATGCATCATTACAAAAAAGTTGTTTGAAGCAAACTAAAACATGGACAATTTAACAAATAACATTAGTTTACGAAACATTTTTAAATGTTCAGACAAATTAAAATTTGTAAAAACAATGTTTGGCGTAAATCTCGTTTGTTTTTACAACATTTAAGCTACATAAAATAAGTTAAATTGTGAGTGAACAAAAAATAAGTTTTAAATTGTAACGTAACAGTTGATTTATAAAAAAATATTTTTTACAATGACAAGTTTTCCAAATGATAAGCTAAATCATTTTCTTTCAAACTTATTTTCACATTTAGTTGTTTTAACTTTTGTTGAAAATAATCAATTAAAGAAATAAGCAATGCAATTTCATTACCAGTTACAGCTTTAACTTCATCGTAACCCACTGATGACTGGTATTTACTGAATGAAGTAAGGCCGTCGACAGTGATGCCTTGATAATCAGTTTCAAGTGTGTATTTAAGCAAATCAATCCACAGCTGATAGTACTGTTTCCAGACAGATGTGTTTTCATTTGGAATAATGTGCTCAACTTCATCTGAATAGACTATCCGACGAATATTGGCTGCAGAGTCCCATTTGGGGCAAACCATCAGTTTCATGATTAAATCCAGACGCCAGTCAACTGTAGGCGGCATTTCCTCAACTACATTAGGAGGATTGAAAAAAGTTAAGTTATCGTTGAGTTTGAGATACGAAACGGTAAAGTACGCTTGAGTAGGCCATGTAAGCTCAAAGTTATCTGTTGGTTGTATAAAATCAATTTCACGCAGAACTGTTAGGCGTTTCATGTAGAACACCGATATGTGACTTTGCAGCAATGAAGTTTCCCTCTTTTGAAGCCATTCATGTAGTCGCTGGTACGAAAGCGGTATCACATCCAATTCAGATGGCCTGATCCAAATAGTAGTAGTAGTGTTTGCAGAATTTTCAGAATCACAACCACTGGTTTCAACTTTGGCGCCCTCAATGGTAGTGTAACCGTAGTGCTGAAGCAGCTGACGGTTGCTGTAGTTGTTGTACTTGATGAAGACCTGACTGAATCGATCAATCGGCTGGCGAGTGATCAGCTGCAGCTCGTCATCAGAGGTGAACTGCAGATATACATCAGCCGACGGTGAGTGATTGAGCAGATCAAAGAAGGGCACCAGTGCCAGTTTGTCCTGCTGTTGCTGCTGCTTCGGTGTTGCACTGTTTGCCCCTGCAGATCGCCTGGGCAGGTAGACGCAGCGAGTGTTCACCGAGCAGTACGCCCACTCAAAGAGGTCCCAGTTCAACAGGTCCGCCCTGGTCCAGTACAGGTCTCGGGTGCTGCTGTGGATGACGGCGCGCAGTGAGTGATACGTGGAGGTCATCTTCTCCGATTCGACGAGAAGGCTCTCCCGTAGCGAGGGAGGAATGGTGCCCAGCTGACGGCTGATCTCCCGCGTCGACAGATGATACGGCAGCGAGTGGTACCGGTTGGGCAACACGTCGAAGTAGTCCACCCAGGGCGACTCGGGGTCGTCCAGTTCGTTCATGAGGAAGACAATCAGACAGTGCAGGTCCTCTTTGAAGTGCCCGTAGACCTTTGGCTTGTAGGAGCGGAGAACCGAGCTGGTGATCAGTAGTCGAGCTGGCAGCGTCATCACCGCGTCGCCCGCCTTAAAGCGCCGCTTTTTAGTGAAGATGCCCAGGCCAAAGGTGGGTGAACGGTGGATGGCAAGTTTGGTGGTGTTCTTGAAGCCGTTTCGCTTTAGCCACTGCCAGAAACCGATCACCTGATCGCTGTTGTCTGGATGATGTGAATCAACAGCAGCTGCTGCACTTTGATGCTCAGCATTTTCTCGCTCTTTAGCTTTTCGGCGCTTTATTCTCTTTAGACGAGGCATGTTTTTTTATCAGAGTTGTCTTTGCAGTAATCTAAATATTGGGGTGATAAAGATTGATGAGTTTGATCAACTCAAAGATGAAGATGATACCTAGTGAAAGCATACCAGGAAAAAAACAAGTTAAGTTGACAATCAAGCTCGGACTACAGCATCGCCACCTTCAAAACCAGCTGTGATTTGTGCTGATGTCCGCAGACACCGCTACCACTCTGTTGATATATCACACTGGAGAGGCAGCAGTTGATGATGGTGATGGCACGTGAAGAAGAAAACTATGAAAATTGTGCGTGAGAAGATGTCTCACCGCCGGTGGTAGCAGACTCACACACACAAGCATGCTAAGTTGGTGCATGTGCGCAAACCTGTGCGATGAGTGTTCTACTGAGGGGGCAGCAGCGCCCCCTTTTCTTCAAATGCCTCTAAAATCGGCACAACGAGTACAAGTGAAGTGCTGCCTGCCGTCCAGAGCTTCTCCAAAGCTGGTGTGCACTGCCGCACCACAACCGCTGCCCCCACGCGCCGGGCAAGCACTGTGTTTGTAAAAAAAACACACACACTCACACTCAAGTACACCACAAGTTTGACATTTAGTTTAGCGCCCCTTTCCTTGCTCCTTCTTTCCAGTGGAGCGATTGCTGTTGCCACCACCACCACCACCACCACCATTGCCACCACTAACTGGCCAGTACTGGGCTCATCATCGCCTAAACTTTGGCCTTTTCACGGGCACTACAAGAGAGAGAGAGATAGGCAGATTGAAGAAGCCGTCGCCGTTGCCGTCAGCACTGAACAATTCTGCACTAGATTCTCCTGCTGCTGCTGTTTCCTTCTGCTTTTGCTATAGATGCCAAGCGCCGCTGCTGCTGCAGCTGAAGTGTTTTCTTCTTCTTCTTTTTCTTCGTCTTCTTCTTTGCCAGCACTACTTTCTCTGTTGTCGTTTGCGTGCGGCTTTGTCGGTTTTTTAGACTGTGCACGGCACACTCTTTCTCTCTTTCGGTCTCTCTTTCGGTCTCTCTCTCTCTCTCTCTCTCTCTCTCTCTTTCTCATTTAAGCTCTTCACTGCTGTTGTTGGCTGGGGATCTAGTGTGGTTCCATCATCGGCAATGCTGGTGCCTCTGGTCTGCCTGTCTCTGTCTGTGTGTGTGTACGTGCTGGCTGCAGCAGGCCCACTTACTGGATGATGATGATGATGATGATGATGATGCTGCACCAGGCATTTAAAGCACTGGCACTCTTTTTTGTCAGCTGCAGCAGAACTACTACTCCCGAAGCCCACTTCTGGCCATTAGGTTAAGTGAGCTTAGCGCAATGATGAGGAGGCAGCAGCAGCAGAATCAGCAAAAGCAGAAACAGCAGGAGCAAAAGCAGAAGCGGCAGTGATTCCATTTGTAAGTGTACGCTACCCTTTCCTTCATCTTTTTATTCCCTCTGTCTCTTCTTCCTTTTATTTCTCATTTTCTTGTGCACTTTCCATCAACTCTTCTACACGGTTTTTTTTGCTGTCTTTTTCCTCCTCTTTTTTCTTGGTTGAGTCGTGCTCTGGTCTCCTCACTACTCAACTTTGCTACCCCATGGGATAATCTTCTTTTTTTGCTGTTTAGTTTCACCCTTTTTAGCCTTTTTCTGTTTTTTTCTTTCTTTTTCTTCGTTCTTTTTGTTGTTGTTCACCTGCAAAAAAAAGAACAGTAGATGGGCCGACGGTGGCGGAACAAGCGGCGCAGCCAGCGGTGGCTGCTGCTACAACGTCAACGTCAGCAACGACAGCAGCAGCAACAACAACAACAACAAAAGCCCTGGTTTCAGTCAGTGTCATCCGATGATGATGGTGGTGGCGGGCAATTTGATGAAAGGGAAGATGAGGAAGAAGAGCAGGTCAACTTGGGCCACCAGGATTTCAGCCCCGAGGTGATCACCCTGCTGCGGTGGCTCAAGGAGAACGGCTTCCGCAATGAACACCGCTTGCAGGTGTTCCAGTACGGAGACCGGCAAGGTCGGGGCATCTGCGCCCGCCGGGGCCGGCTGGCCGTCGGCGACGAGCTGATGCTGCTGCCCAGCAAGTGCATGCTCCTGCCCTCCGTCCTCCGCCAGGAGAAACCGGAACTGTACGAGCACTTTGAGATCGACGAGGACTGCCTCATCGCCGTGCTGATGTACGAACGGGCCCGCATCGACGCCGGCCTCAGCTCTTTCTGGGCGCCCTACCTCAACACCATCACCCGCGACTACGACTACCTGCCGCTGATGGAGGCGAATGTGCTGCAGCGGTACGCCACCCTGCCCGTGCCCAGCAGCTACTACCGCCTGGTCAGCGCCACGCTGATTGACCTGGAGCGGACCCGAGTCCGAGTGAGCGACATCATCACCCTCAACAAGCTGCCCATCCTCTACGACCACGACGCCTTCAACTGGGCCTACTCGGTGGTGAACACCCGCTCGGTGCACCCCAACCCGCTGATGGTGAACAGCGCCGCCTTCCAGGGCGACGACATCGCCCTGGTGCCCTTCTTCGACATCTTCAATCACGCCCCCAGCGGTAATGCACAGGTGCAGACTAGCTGTCCGGAAGGGTTTCAGATGGTCACGCACAAGTCCTTTCCGAGATACTCACAGGTAAGCCTCTTTTTTACTGTTTTCTAAATGATCACCTTTTAACCTTCCCTCTTTTCCACCACCACCAGGTGTACATCAACTACCACGACGATGTGAGCAACCGCGAGTTCTACGTCTTCTACGGCTTCACGCCCATCCAGGGCACCTGGCCGGCGTCCAGTGACAGCCGCCTACTGAAGGTGACGCCCTGTCCGCAGGACATCATCAACATTCCCTACACTAAGCTGGAGGCGATTCTCATTCAAACCGCCGAACGCTTTCCCGAGTACCGCCACCTGAAAGAGCGCATTGTGGAGCGCCTAAACATGCTCGTGCAGATGAACTTCATCAACGCCCACGAGGACACCTTTTACCTGCGGTGGCCTCGAACGCTGCTGAACAACGTCAGTGTGCAGTTTGTCGATGACTGCATCACCTTCAAGGAGGCAGGTAAGGTCTACGAATGCCTCGATCTGACGGCTCTCAACAGCAACGTCGACACTAGCCTGGAAATTCTATTCACCCTGCTGGCTAAAACTAAATTCGAAAATGTTAAAAAGAAAAGAATGAACAACTTTATCACTGCAGCGGCGGCTGTTTCTCGGTACAAACACAAACAGGCGGCAAGTAAGTATTGATAGTGATTGAAAAAGTTGTAAATAGATTACTAATAACACACAATATTTCTTGCATTTTAGGTAAAATAGGAACTCGAGACAGCTTGGAAAACACTCTGGATGCCACTTCTCCGCTGGTGTGCTATGAAGAAGAACTCTCAATACGGTACAGTTTAAAAAAGATGCTTCTACGAGGATACATGAAAAATGAGTACGGCTTTGATGCGACCATTCCCCTAACTCCGGTGTTAGTCAATCAGTACTTGGAGCAGTTGAGTTCACTTGAAAAACCGTTGAAAATGCTTTTTCGCAATGAACTTGGTCTTTTGCTTTTTCATTCATATCAAATTGAACAGACAATGCCTTGCTAAAGTTTCTAAAACTTTTTAAAGCACATTGATTAACTTAACAATTTGTTTATGTTTTACTGTTAATACTGACTCAATGATTATCTTATTCATTTTGTTGAACACGTGATGACAAGTTTTCAATATTTTATTGAAGACTGAAAATTTTATCAAGATTTTGTTAATTTCACAAATACTTAAAGTTAAAAGTTATCTAACTTATTCAAATTTTCAAAAAATGTTACTGTTTTAACTTAAAACAACTCTAAAAACTTTTCAGTATTATTTTCTATTTTTGATCAAAAACTTCTATGCAACTATTTATTTTTCATATAAACTTTCAAAACTATCAATCATATCAAATTACACCGGGCGTCAGCCCGGTGCAAAGTTACTGTTACCTGCGAGATTTTTGGCATAGATACTCAGGAAAATTAATGTGATTTTTTGAACCAAGTATCAGATTTTTGTGGTGGGACTGGCATCTGATAATTTAAAAAAGTCATTTTGTCGAAATTGACTTATCACCACAACTCATTTTCAGATGACTAAGTTTATTTTATTTTTCGGTAAACTGTCTTTTCGTAGAAATGTCTTATTAGCACAAAAATTTAATGTAAAACTATTTTTTTTAAAATTACTTTTAATTAAGTGGTCCCACCACAAAAATCTGATACTTGGTTCAAAAAATCACACTATTTTTTCTGAGTTTTTATGCCAAAAATCTCGCAGGTAACAGTAACTTTGCACCGGGCTGACGCCCGGTGTTATATATTTAAACTTTGCGTTGACTGAATTACAATGATGATTAACTTAACCTAACACAAAATGGTCGTATTTATTCAAAATATGTTATCTACTTATTTGATTTTTTATTTGTGCGCATCTGGTATTCTATCTGTTTAACCATCAACATGATCAACAATTTAAAACCCAAATGATTATGAATGTTTTTGTGATTTTTCACAAGCAATTAACTTATTGTAACTTTAGTTAACTTTATTAATTTTTAATTTATGCTTCAAATTAAAAACTTTTTAAAAATGTTACTGTTAAAAAAAATTTTATCAAATAAAAAATTTGTTTTTGTTTTTAATTTTAATTTGGGCTATTTTTATTATATTTTATAAATAAATCTACACAAAAATAAAAATTTTGGAAAGCGTCCTCTATCAGTTAAAATTGAAAACAATAGGTAATAAAATAAACATGTTTTGTTTGTTTACATTTTTTCAGTCAAAATAAATTTTAAAAAAATTTAAATTTGCTTGATACAACTTTAAGTTAACAATAATTCAAAGTTTTTCAATTTTTTAATTTGTGTTTTAATGTTTAGTGCACTCCCTTTTACCAAACAGTGTGTGTAATTTAATTGCACTTTAAACGTTGTGCTCAATGTTTTTATCAGCTCACTAAGCCTGTAAAAGTGTCTGGACGACGATTTATCGTCGTTGCAACGTGTTATCTTTGAGCAAAATGCTATAATAGTGCCTCAAATTGGCTTAAAAACCAAAGTTGTTGCTGAATATTTTGTCACACTGACTATATTTGTTTCATAAACTGTCAGAACTTAACATTTCTGATGGAGCAATTAAAACTTCCAGGCAATGAAATTATTCGCGGAGAAGCGCCCGAAAACATTGAACAGCGCTGTTTGACACTGTGTCAGGACTACATTGGTGGCGTCTGGAAAACAGCCAAAACAACGGAAAATATTACTGTGACTCGAATTACCGGCGGCCTCACCAACCAGCTGTATCGAGTTCAACTTAATAGCGCTCAAAAATGTGCCGACACCAACTCCAATGATGTTCCAACTGATGTGGCTGTAAAGTTGTACCTAAAGAAACATGTGACAATTGGTGATGACGGTGTGGATGACCGCCTTAATGACAACATTGTGCTTACACTTATGTCGCAAACTAAAATTGGACCTCGTGTTTTTGGCATTTTCAAAGAGGGAAACATTCAGGTTTTTCATGAGGTTGGTTTGGCTACATTAGTTTTTGCATTTATTAACTTGTTTTTGTTTGTTTTCAGCATGAACTTTTTGGCCCCAAATATCACAAGGATCCAGATGCAATCCGTAAAATGACTCGTCAACTTGCCCGAGTCAACAACCTTAATGTGCCAATCAGCAAAAGGAATCGACTAATTGATCAAATTGAAACCATGATTGAAGACGGCTATAAAAGCCAAGAAATGGTCAATCATATCCGTTTATTACCAAATGATTCTGTTTTCAAATCTTGTGATTTACGTGAAGAAGTCAAATATTTGAAAAAAGTTGGCGCTCAACTAAATGCTCCAGTAGTATTTTGCCATAACGATTTACTTGGTTCAAACATTTTAATTGTAAAAGCAGGAGAAGTTCTGCTGATTGATCTTGAATACTGTGCTTATGGATTTAGAGGCATTGATTTGGCAATGCTTCTCAATCAATACGAACGTGAGCCATTTGAGTATCTGGATGTGTCATTACCTGAAGATGCTGTAATTGAGCAGTACTTGAACTACTACATTGAAGCATGCAATGAAATTGTTCCTGGATATTCTGATAAACCAGAAAACAGCTTAAAAAGACACGTAGATGAAGTTAAAGTTGCTACACTAAACTACCTGATGATTCTAATGGCCTTTTTTCTAAGTCAAAAAGAATCTATGACTGGCATGGGAGAACCGGTTAATTTGAAAGACAATCTGGTAAGTTTAAAATAAAAACATTTGCAAAAATGATTATCGTTTTTGTTTTTAGAAATTGATCGTAACACTTTATAAACAGTACTCACTTTCAAAACAACGATTTGTAAAAGATGGAATTATAAGTTAGACGCTGTATTTTAAAATTATACAATTCTTTTTTTAAAGCAACTATCTTGATTATTCAAATATTTGTTTTTGTTATGTAGCACTACAGTTTAGGCAAACCAGCCGCTACACTCATAGTTTCAATGCTGCATTCGTCGTTGCCTCTTTTGATAAGAAATGTACCATTGTTGCCCCAATCAGTGTTCCACGAGTTGGCAATTTTCCAGTATTTGACGCCATTCTCCACGCCCCATCCGGTGAGGCGGACGGCATGATAACCAGCAAATTCGCCAGTAAGGTGCTGATAGACTCCAGATTTGTAGGTCAAAAAATCAGCAAACGCAATAAAGGACACAGTCAGTGGGCCGTTCTTGTACACTTCAGCCATTATTTGCGCCTCTCCGTTAAGTGTGTAAGCTTTCTCGCCAAAATGAATGTCCTGCTCGTACGGTGTCGGGTAACCAGGTTCACACTGACGCACACACTTTGGATTGATTTGAGGAAGCGTTGAGCAGTCAGGAAGTGATCCCTCAATATGGTGAGAACAGTTTGTCAGTGAATAGGGAACGCAACCGTCATGCGACTTGTACAGTCCACCGGTGACAATGCCCGACTTGACGTAGTAATCATATGCTGCAATCGGATCACCACCTCCACAACCAAAACCACAGTATGAACAGCAAGCTGACAAGTCTTGAGCCGAAATAAATACCGACTTTTCACCTTTAGAGTGGATGCATATGCGATCCGAAATAGCACCAGTCACTCCAAATGCCCTATTTAAATGAACAAAGATTAAATTGTAGTGCCCATTTGCTCCAGCATCAATACTATCAAATCAATTTTAATACCAGCAAGAACCACAGTGACCTTGATCTCGAATGCTTTCGATTATGTTGGCACATTTTGGCCAATTTTTTGCAGAATCGAACTCTTCTGGCAGCTCATCTTCATTAATTTGATGATTTTTTTGAGGAAATTTTATTGATTTTTCAGTTGAAGGCAAATATCCAAATGACAAATTTGTCAAATTAATTTGCTTGTTTACATGAGCCTTTTAAAATAAAATTTAATAAAAACAATTTTTAATTTTTTTCATACTTTCCAGGTTGTATTCAATGAATTGATGTAGTTTGCAATGTTTTCATAATCAGTTTTAACATTTTTTGAGTATGTCAAGGAAACAAGCCCTATAATTGCTAACAATAAAATATTATTCATGATTTTGCAAAATTTAATTAAAATTATTTAGTTTAAAATATGTTAATAACACAGTTTTGTTTCTACCTTTATATAATAAAAAATCAAAAACAATTTTTTAAATTTTTGGTTTTATTACTTATAAACATCTGTTTTAAAGTTATTAAATATTTATTTTTTAAAATGTTAAAAAACTTGAAACATAAAAAAAACATTACAACAGTAAAAAGTTTGCTCTAAAACCAAATATTTTAAATACTTTAAGTAGAGTGGTATGAGGTTACGTAGCACTCAAGCTTCCAGAACTAAGA